TCAATAGTTCATAACAGACACTTTAGACATAGCAGTAACTGGAAGAGAGACGATTTTAATGTCACAAGTGATGTGGTAGAGGCATTTCTAAATTTACTTTTTAATTTCATCTATATTAGAAATTTAAAATCTGGTCCTTTTCTCTCACATCAGAACAATGGGTATAAAGCAAAGCTTAAGTCAATGCCAGATATTTACCTATTGAAACACTAATTCCATTAGGTATTTTAAATACTTGTACTATTTCTATTATAACTTGGTTGCTAATGGCTCTCAAGAAATCCTGTAATTATATTCTGTAGTACTTATCACAGTTATATAATTAAGTATTACTGTGATGAGCTACTTAAATTCTGACTCTTCCACTAGAAGTAAGTTCTATGAGGAATCTTAAGTCGCCTATCCCTGTAACCCAAGCTCCTTTGGTTATGTTATTATTAAGTGCCGTAGAGTCAGTTCTGACTCACAGCAACCCTGTACGGGTTTCTGAGGAGCAGCTGGTGGGTTTGAACTGCAGACCTTGTGGTACACAGTTCAATGCACCAAAACAAACCACACCTACTACCATCAAGTCAATTCTTACTCCCAGCAACCCTGTATTGTTGCTGTTGTTAAGTGCCATCAAGTTGGTTCCAACTCACAGTGACCCTGTATAGGGTTTCCAAGGTGTGGCTGCTGAGCTTGAACCACTGACTGCGTGGTTCAAACCGACCTTGCAGTCCAGCACATTAACCCACAATGCCACACCAGCGTTTGTGTACAAAGACAGAAAATCTTTCTCAGAGAAGCTGATGGGTTTCAATTGCCGACCTTCTGGTTAGCAGCCTAGTGTTTATCCTACAGCACCATGTGGGCTCCTTATAGGATGTGCAATAGCCATTAAATAGTTCATGACTTTTCAAACACTTGAAATGGGAGAAAACTTCATTCATAATTCCTTATAAAGCCAATAATCCATCATAAAATGGATTACTTCCTAAACAATATTCTTAATGCATTTCATAGGGCTATTTCATATGACATTCCTAAGAAAAATTATACCAAAAATGAGAATAAATGCAGTTTTAGAATCCAAGAGGAAATCCCTTGGTGGTTTAATCAGTTAAAATGCTCAACTGCTAACTAAAAAAGTTGAGAGTTTTAGTTCACTCAGAGGTACATAAAAGAAAACCCTAAAAATCTACTTAAAAAAAAAAAATCAGCCATTGAAAACCTATAAGCAGTTTTACTCCGACATACATGGGGTTGCCAGAATTGGAAATGACTTAATAGCAACTGCTTTGTTTGTTTTAAATAATTTAAGGGTTGTTGTCATTAACTACCGTAGAGTTCGTTCAGACCCACAGCAACCCTGTATAGGGTTTCCGAGGACCAGGTGGTGAGCTTGAACTATCGACCTTGTGGTTCAAACTGACTTTCAGTCTAGCACATTAACCCACAGAGCCACACCAGGAGTACAATAAAAAAAAAAAAAACATGGAAAATTCTTAATGATACAATCTTCAAGCAATCCATCACTGAAATACTATTTGTAATAAAGATGTTAGTACAGTTTTAACAGTTGAAATTTGAAGTTACATTCTTTGGCAAGAGCCTATAGAAGCATAAATGGCACAGAACCATAAACACTCTAGGTTCCTAGGTACAAATTAATACATGTTCACTGTTAACCACGAAGACAATAAGGTTAAAATGTTCTGATAAAAAATGAAGAAGTCTAGCTAAGCTACATGCTGGAAAATGGCTTACCTATCTCTGTATAGAGGTATACTAAAAGAGTACTTGCTCAAGTTTGGTGGTGAAAAGGAAGACAAGATCCATGTGTGAACAAGAGGTACAACTGCTCTAAGAGAGACGTTTTATAAAGGGAAGTAGAAGGAGGTAAAGGCAAAATAAGGGAGCCCGGTTACTTCCTCTCAGAGCCACACTGCATTTTTATCACTTCTAGAAGCAAATTTATATGGGAATGAATTAGGACTCTAAAATATTTGCTTATGGCTCTGCTCTAGATTTCCTTCTGTACTTCAGTGTAAAACATACTGAAAGACATATACCCTGCATTTGAGTTATATTTGCATGTTTTTTTTAAATGGTTAAGTGATTTTTCTGGCTCTTTCTAGTTTGGCTCTCAAAAGGCCAACTCATAGAAAACAGCTAAAAAAAAAACCAACAAAACAAATGAAAAACATTAATGTTTTTATCATATCCCAGAAAACAGGGTGAGAAAAAATCCACACTTCCCACACAGTAACTAAAGTCAGCCTTTGATTTATCTTAGTAATAGAGTAGCTTAAATGGAAACAATAAATGAATAGTGAAATACTACTAATAGTGGTTAAGACATGATAAGACGTAAACTGGCATGTCTTTACTCCTACTGAATTCGAAGAATAAGGTTTATAAAACATAGAAATAAGAATACTATTTCTAAGTATACACAACTAAGACATAAGCTAAAACTGAAAATTACAGATTAACCAAATCACCACAGACTTTTCTAGTAGACATACTGACAATGTTCTAACATGCTCATCCATCGACTAACTTTTATGTTTCATTGAGCATCATTCTTTTCATAAAAAGCTAGAATACCCTCCTAACTCCTAGATGCTGAGTTCATTATACAAATTATAAAAGAATATATATTTAAATTTAGATGGCAGAATGTATATTAACTAAAAAGAAACAACTATATACATATATGTATGAATATATACATAATATATAAGTTCCAAAATGTATTAATTGTTTCAATCTGTTTCCATACACTCCTAAGCTTCACTTTTTAAACATGCATAATTTAGTAGAATTTAGAATAATGTTATACTTTCAGTGAAATTATGAGGGTAAATTTAAAAAAAAACAAAATCTTGCTATACGTTCCACTTTATACATGTATGGATTTATTCCAAACAAAATGTGTTTACTTAACCCACGCCTCTGGGATCAGTGGATGGCTGCAGACAAATTCTCTCAGTAATACACTTGTCTTAGTCTCTTAAGGGTGCCTTCTAAAAAAAAGACTACTAAAAAAAAGTGCTTCATGAAAATTAATCAGTTCCAAAAGTTGATCTTTTCATCATCAATCTTTTAAGTAAGATCAAAGCTCTCCCATGTAAACTATCACATAATTCACAATAAAACATTTAAGAAAAAAAAAAAGATCAAAGCTAATGTAAATGATGGTATGGAACACATGGTAGCTAGGACAATCTTGAAGTTACCAATACAATCCAAAGAGTACGGTTCAATCACTGGCTTTTGAAGGGATCTGCTATGTCAGTTAATTCAAGGAAGAAAGGTGGACTCAGAGGTCATACATATATAGTAATAATGTGTTGTAGTTGTTGTTAAGTGCTGTTGAATCGGTTCCAACTTGTAGCAACCCTATATAGGGTTTCCAAGGAGCTCTGGTAGCGTAGTGGTTATGAATCGGGCTGCTAACCTCAGAGACAGTAGTTCGAAACAACCAGCTGTTCTGCGGGAAAAAGATGATACTGTCTGCTCCCGTAAAGATTTACAGCCTCGGAAACCCTGTTACAGAGTCGCTATGAGTTGGAACCGACTGCACGGCACATAATGACAACAACATATAGGGTTTCCAAGGAGTGGCTGGTGGGTATGTATATAGTTGAGGTCCTGGTGTGGCACTGTAGGATAAGCACTAGGGTGCTAACTGCAAAGTCGGCGGCTCAAGCTCACCAGTCATTCCTTAGAAACGTTATACAGGGTTGCTATAAGTCAAAACCAACTTAATGGAACTGAACAACAAAAAGGTTTACAGCTGTTGCTGTTTGGTTCCACTGAGTGGGTTCTGACTCATAGTCACCTTGTATAAGGTTTCCGAGGAACAGCTGGTAGGTTTGAACCACTGACCTTGTAGTTCAAACAGATCTTTTGATCCAGTAATTTACCCTACAGTGCTATACCAGAACTCCCATATAGCTATTACATATATATACATAGACTGTCTTGAGGGACGGCACACGACGATCACAGGAACTACTACTTATAGAAGTTTGCAGGAAATGGAAAACTATTATTGGTGAGAAAAAAGTCAGGGCAGTTGCCCCTAAGAATTTTTTTCTATGACAACAACTTCATTTGCCTACAGCATTAACAACAACAATTTTTCTATAATCCTGGTGTGGCACCATTGGATAAGCACTGGACTGCAGGGTCAGTTTGAACTGCAAGGTCAGCAATTCAAACTCACCAGCTGTTCCTAAGAAACCCTACACAGGGTTGCTATGAGTCAGACCTAACTCGATGGCACTTAACAACAACAACGTTCTTCTACAGTTGCAAAGACTGTCCTATAACAATTTTGTTGGGAAACCAACTCCATTTGCCCTAAAGTCCTGATAGGTCCCTTCATACTTCTTTTTCAGTCCCCATACTCAAAGAACATTTAAAGGAATACAATTTGAGCCCCTCAAGGTTGACAACACTGTGTTTTAACGTGATGTAAATCAAACAGTCCAGAATTCTTTAGAAAAGGATTGTTGTTGTTGTCAAGTGCCATCAAGTCGGTTTTAACCCATAGCGACCATGTATCGGGGTTTCTAGGAGGACCTTGAACCAAAGACCTTGTGATTCAAATTGACTTTGCAGTCCAGTGCATTAGCCCACCGTACAAATCAGGACATGGAAACACCCCCTTCAGAAGTACATAGTCCTAATCACTGAATATGCCAAGAAACAATAATTTCATAGTTTTCTTTATTTATGGTTTCTAAGATTTTGCAGTAGTATTTTTTGAATTGCCCTTTTATCTAATACGTACATAAAAATGTTACTTTTCTCCAGATTAAATTTAGCATGTTTAGGCCAATTTTTTGTTCTGATAATAGCCCTTTAAATTCATAGTCTCAATATCAACCAGATACTCTAATGACAATAAAATACTTGTGATCAATAAATCGCTAAAACTGGAAATATATAAAGCCGAAATGTGGAAAACAAAGGCATTTCTAAAATCTATTTTTAAATAGACATACTTGTTCCATCCGAGTGTTTTTAGCTCTTGAATAAGACCCGAATAGTACTGGGGGGGAGGAGGCGGTGCATGCAGCTCTTGTTTATTCTTTAAAGCAACTTCCTGTTTAAAACAAAAAACTTGAATCAGTTGTGGCATACTAGACAACCAATTGTTAGTACATGACTACAAAATACAATTTCAAAATTTTCTTAGTGCTTAACTAAAGTGCCCACTATTTGCTTTTTTTTAAATCTACCTGAGTCATCCCCCTTGTCATGAAAAAGAGACATAAAACAGTTATAAGATTATATTGAAGGTCATACAAAATGTCATTTATTATACCATGAAAAGGACTTAAGATTTTAATGTTCTCCTAGACTATTATACTTACCAGTATTGAAAAATGTTAGTGAAAAAAATAAAATAAATAATCCTCATTTCAAGGTCCCGTCTCTTTCTACCACTGTGGGTACGATGCTTTGATATATAGAAATGCATGCCTTTAATGAAAAGCATGAACTCAAAAGTGCATTGTCTAGGCTAAACTATTTGTATGCTATTATGAACCACATTCTTAAAAAGCAAAATCCCTTGCTCTAATACTTATCTGCTCATTTCTTTCCCTCTCTTACATTCTCTAGCACCCCTCTCCTTTGTTGTTCCTGCTAAGCGTTTTTTAGTCTGTTTCAATTCCTAGTGATCCCCTGTGAGAAACCAGGACCACCCCACAGGATTTTCTGTTATAATCTTTCTGGGAGCAGACTGCCAAGACTTTCTCCCATGGAGACACTGAGTGGGTTTGAACTACCCATTAGGTTAATAGTTGAGTGCTTAACTGTTGCACCATCTGAGCCCACTACTCCTCCTTTAGGTAGATCCAAGTATTTGCCATTCATCTGCTAGACCCCAGTTCCTTTTCCTGCTTGGCCAACTCACACCCTTCTTAGTATGGTTTATGTTCCTCCAACTACAACCAAAATTTACATTTTTCAAAAAGCAATACAAACACCACTGAGGCTGAAAACTAGCAATTACTTTGAAATTGCTAACAAGACAAATGTCCTACTTAGAAACTAAAATGTATCCATAAATTACTTCAATGCTCATCCGGTCTGTGCTATCAAAAGGTAGTATGAAAAGTAAAGAAATAAACACAAAATAAAAATCAACCCAATTAGTAACAAAAGCAGATGAGAAGAAATCTAAAAATTATAAATATTTCTGGCAAATATAACTCTAGTAAAAGATTTATACATATTTTTTATCCCTGTGATGTTTAGAGTTTTTGGTTTGTTTTGCGTTTTTTCTAAAAATAAGACAAAACTCAAAGAACAGATTTTACAAAACAGCATTTCAAAATCAGGACAATTAACTATGAATTTAGTTTTAAACTATTCCACTATTTAAACAAAACTGTAGAAGCAGGTTTGTAAAAGTCAGTACACCTACATGGGTTTAACAAAATGACAGCTCCTAGAAGGGAAGCAATGTACTGTACTTTTCATACCTTTTAGAAGTATCTCATATTATGTAAAAATAGCCTGATGGCTCATAAAAATAAATGTTTACTATTAAGTTGATCCTTTAGCAGTTATTTACATTTGTTGTTATTAAGTGCCATCAAGTCGGTTCCGACTCATAGCAACCCTGTAAAGGGTTTGAACTGCTGACCTTGTGGTTCGCAGTCCAGTGCTTACCCTAAAGTATCACACCGGAGACATTATGTGTCCTGGACATGTACATATAGAAGTTACACAGTATTTCTCTTTAAGTTTCTATCTTCATTCAGAAATATTGATTACTGGAGGTCACAAACATAAAAGATTTAAAAACAAACCTGGATGATTTTTATTTTATTTTTTAATATCCTAGATTAATAACACATGTGAAACTCTGCTTTCTACCTTGGCTTAGATAAATTACACCTAATTTACATCATTAACAGGAGAAAAAGCAATGGCCGAGAAGTAGCAAATCCTTCATGGAGTATAAAACAGGACAGCAGTAAACAGTAACAAAAAACACAAACTCTACAAAGAGGTTTTGTATTCTGACTTTAACATTTTCTAGTTTTCAAGCTGTAGTGCTAAAAAAAAAAAAAATTACATAAACTAAGTCTATTTCACAGGGTTCTTTTAAAATATAGATAATTGTTCATGCGTTGAATATTTACTGAACTTCTATATGTCTAGTTATAACTGGAAAAAGTTCTGGGACATTTGCACATTTTCTTTCATTAATTTAATACCTACTGATTCCATCTGAACATCATTCACAATAATTTCATTAATGATATTATACTAAGTCTATTATTAACAAAAAGCCCTGATATGGTACTACAGGAAAAGCAATGAACTGCTAACCTCAAGGTTGGGAGTTAAAAACCAACCCGTTGTTCTTGGAAACCCTATACAGGATCGCTAAGATTTGGAACCAATTCGATGACACACAACAACAATTATTAACAGTCCACCAATCACAAATCAGTCCATCGTACTGTGTTGACTTGCGTGATGTTGGAAACTATGAAACAGTATTTCAAATACGAACAGCATCACTCATGTGGACAAGTTTCAGAGGAACTTCTAGATGAAGAAAGACTAGGAAAAAGGAGTAGGCAGTCCACTTATGAGGAATTAGCCACTGAAAAACTTAGGAGTAGCTGTAGAAGACTGTCTGATGTAGTATACTGTAAGCATCGTTCTAGGGTTGTTGTTGTTAGGTGCCATCAAGTCAGTACCAACTCATAGCGACCTTATGCACAGCAGAATGAAACAATGCCCGATCCTGGGCCAACCTCACTACTGTTGCCATGCTTGAGTCCATCGATGCTGCCACTTGGCCAATCCACCTCATTGGGGTCATCCTCTTTTTCTCTGACCCTCCAACTTACCAAACATGATATCCTTCTCCAGCGACCGGTCCCTCCTGACAATTATGTCCAAAATATGAGAGACGAAGTTTGGCCTTCTTGGCCTTTAAGGAGCATTCTGGCTGCACTTCTTCCAAAACGGATCTATTGGTTCTTTTGGCAGCCCATGGCACTTTCAATATTCTCCACCAACACCATAACTCAAAGGCATCAATTCTTCTACGGTCTTCCTTATTCACTGTCCAGCTTTCACATGCACATGAGGTTATTCAAAATAACTCATATGTTGGCTTGGTTCAGGCGCACCTTAGTCCTCCAGCTGACATCTTTGCTCTTCAACACTTTAAAAAGGTCTTGTGCAGATTTGCCTAATGCGATACATCATTCGATTTCTTGACTGCTGCTTCCATGAGTGTTGATGGTTGATCGAAGAATGAATTCTTTGACAACTTCAACCTTTTCTCTGTTCATAAGAACGTTGTTTATTGGTCCAGTGGTGAGGATTTTTGTTTTCTTTTCATTGAGAGGCAATCCATACCCAAGAATGTGCTCTTTGATTTTCAGCAGTAAATATTTGAAGTCCTCTTCACTTTCAGCAAGCAAGGTTGCATCATCTGCATATCACAGGTTGTTAATGAGTCTTCCTCTAATCCTAATGCCACATTTTTCTTCATATAACCCAGCTTCTCAGAGTATTTGCTCAGAATGCAGCTTGAATAAATATGGTAAACGAATACTACCCTATCATATACCTTTCTTAATTTTAAACCATTCAATGTTTCCATGTTCTGTTTGTACAACTGCCTCTTGGTCAATGTACAGATTCCTCATGAGCACAATTAAGTGGTTCCAGAATACTCATACTTCACAATGTTGTCCATAGCTTGTCATGATTTACATAATCAAAAGCCTTTGTGTAGTCAATAAAGCACAGATAAACATCTTTCTGACATTCTCTGCTTTCAGCCAAAATCCATTGGACATCAGCATTGATATTCCTCATTCCACGGCCTCTTCTGAATCCAGCTTGAACCTTTGGAAGTTCTCTGTCAATGTATGCTTGCAGCCATTTTGTATTACCTTTAGCAAAACTTTACTCACATGGGATATCAAAGATATTGTCCGATGATTTCCGCATTCCATTGAGTCACCTCTCTTTGGAATGTGCACAAATACAGATCTCTTCCAATCAGTCAGCCAGATAGTTGTCTTCCAAATTTCTTGGCAGAGATGAGTGAGTACCTCCAGTGCCACCTTACTCTCTTGAAAAATTTCAATTTTTATTCCATCAATTCCTAGTGCCTTGTTCTTTGTCAATTCTTTCAATGCACCTTGGACTTCTTCCTCCAGTATCATTGGCTCTTGATCATGTGCTACCTCTTAAAACAGTTAAACATCAACCATTTTCTTTTGGTACAGTGACTCTGTATTCCTTCCATCTTCTTTTGATGCTTTCTGCATCATTCAATAGTCTCAATGTTTTCCCATGGAGCAGCTAGTGGGTCTAAACTAACAATCTTATGGTTAGCAGCCCAATGCTTAACTGACACTACGCTGCCAGGGCTCCAAAGGGTAAATAAATAATTCAATACTTTATATATAACTGATTAACTGAATAATCAACTATCTTTTGAAAGGAAGCCTAATAAGTTATTTAGAAATCTGAAGCTGTATGCAAAATTTTTATGCAACAACATATTATAACTTTAACTGTTTTACTGTGACTACCTAGTCTCTCTTTAGATGTGAAATTATTTGATATGCCAGAAATATATCTAATTTCTTTACCACCTGCCCAACGTTAGTGATAAATGTACCCAGTGTGACACAATCACCTAGTACTTACCTACTGTTCGGTTCTTCACACAGTACAGGTAAAGTACTATCCACATTTATGTACACAGTAAAACACTAAATGATTACAAGTTAATTAAGTTTTAAATTCTAATCATGATAGCTTTAAAAGGAATTATAGAAACAATTAATTCTCATAGAATATGGTAATAGTTACAAAAAGCAATTCTTACCAAAACCATCTTCAATTCCATCATAAAGCTCATTAAATCGGGAGAGTGCTGCATTCTCTAGACCAAAACAACATTTCTAATTAATTTCACTTGCTCAATGAATATTTCATTCACTGAAATTGAAATAGATTTAGGTCAACATGAGTGTCAGCAGAACTTATTGGCTACATCTTAAAATTATAAGATTTAAAGTATACATACAGGGTAACTATGAGCCAAAATCCACGAGACAGCACCTAACAGCAATCAACATAAGTCTATTTTGAGTCTTCCTTCACTTTAAAGACAACCTATAATTATTATGTTTGACTTCTCATGGTTGTGTTGTATGCTGTGAAGTTGACTTCAACTCACAGAAACCCCGTGTGACAAAGTAGAACTTCTCCATGTTGCTTTCGAGGTTATAATCTTTACGGGAGCAGATCACCATGTCTTTCAGCCACTAGGTAGGTTTGAACCACCAACCTTGCAGTTAGCAAGCAATCACTTAACCTTTGCTCTACTACGGTTCTTTCCTTTCATTACTAACCCATATTAATACAAAAGGAGTCAATTTGTCAATAAAGTAAAAACTTTATAATAGAAGATGTCAAAAAGTAACTAACTTCTAAAGTAGAATGAATATTTAATCGTTGTGGTTCCATTTCCTTTAAATTCTTCATTGTTAAAATAACAACAGAATAAAAAAAATGCAATGACAAATCTAAAGAATTTTATATTGTTTCTTTCTCAGATAGAACTCTACATAATTTCTCTGCTTAAAATCAAAATGGACTTCTGATGTGGTGCTGTAAGGTCAGCACTGCACTTCAAACCACAAGGTGGGCAGTTCAAACCCACCAGTTGCTCCTTGGCAACCCTGTTGTACAGGATCACTACGAGTCGGAACCAACTCGATGGCACTTAGCAACAACACCACCACAGTCAAAACACTGTCATTTCTTAGTTTTTGTTATGTATTGGACCAATACCACATGGCTGTGAACAAAGTCAATATGTGAACGGTTGCTTTCTTTTAGATGAGAACAATTAAAATCTAAGTTATTTCAGTAATGAAGGAAGACATATGATCCACATCTTAACATAGTTTTGACTGGGAATCTGTTTTCAGAACAAATCTTTTACTCTGTTTTCTATATAATGTTTTCCCTTTAATTTACTACAACTAAATCATAGGTAAGGAGCTCTGGTAGCGTAGTGGTTATGAATCAAGATGCAAACCACAAGGTCAGCAGTTTGAAACTACCAGCTTCTTCATGGGAGAAAGATGAGGCTTCCTGCTCCAGTAAAGATTTACAGCCTCGCAAACACTGTTCAGGGTCGCTATGGGTCAGAACCGACTCGACAGCACTTAACAACAAGTAATAGATATATCAAAGGTCAGCAAACAAATTTGAGTTTTGTAAATAAAGTTTTATTTTCAGACAGAAATACTCATTGGCTTTTTTGAACTACAAGGCTGTTTTTGAACTACAAGGGTGGAGTTAAGTAGTTGCAACAAACCCGCAAAGTATCAAATATTTACTAACTAGTCTACTACAGAAAAAGTATGTTGAACCTTGACTCACACTTACTAAAGTAAAAAATGATACTAAAAAAGACTATCAAATTTTACCTGGACTTTCTACTAAAGACTCAATCTAGTCCCATGTTCAAGGATTATTAGACTTAATGGTGGTGGTGTGCTGTGAAGTGGGTTCCGACTCATAGCAACCCTGTATAGGGTTTCCAAGGCTGTGAAGCTTTATGAAAGGAGAAAGTCTCATCTTTCTCCCATGGAACGGCTGAAACGGCTGGTAGTTTCAAACTGCTGACCTTGAAGTTAGCATCCTGACTCTTAACCACTACACTACCAGAGCTCCTTGTTGTTGTTGTTGTTAAGTACTGTGGAGTCGGTTCCGACTCATAGTGACCCTGCACAGCGTTTCCAAGGCTATAAATCTTTACGGGAGCAGAAAGTCTCATCTGTCATTCATGGAACAGCTTGGAGTTTTGAACTGCCAACCTTGAGGTTAGCAGCCCAATTCATAACCACTATACTACTAGAGCTCCCTGCCAGAGCTCCTTATTGTTGTTGTCACGTGCCATCAAGTCGGTTCCAACCCATAGCAACCCTGAATAGGGTTTCCAAGAAGCAGCTAGTGAACTTGAACCACCAACCTTGCAGTTCAAATGGCTTTGCAGTCTGGCGCATTAACACACAGCGCCACACAGGAACTCCTTGGAAGATTTAATAAGATGCTAACATTACCCAGGACTCCTGCTGTGGCACTTAGGATGAGCAATTGACTGCAAACCACAAAGTCAGCAGTTAAACCTACCAGCAGCTCCTTGGAGATACAGGGTGGCTATGAGTCAGAACAACTTGATGGCACTTAACAACAATAAAATACAACTACACTAATCAAAACAGCCTGGTACTGGTATAAAAATAAACATGTAGATCAATGGAATAGAACTGAGCTCAAGAAATCAACCCACAAAGTTATGTTGGCAAACAAAGTTTTGAAAAGGGTACTTAAGTCCATCTGATGACGAAAGAAGAGTCTCTTCAATATAAATGGTGCTGGGAAACTGAATTTCAACAAGTAGAAAATGAACCAAGACCCAATACCTCACACCATATACACAGAAAATCCAAAATGGACTGAGGACCTTAATGAATACCACAGACTTAGAAAAAAAAGTAAGGGCAATGCTGTCAGGTCTGGATTTTAACAGTGAGTTATCTAATTAATTAGTAAAGCACAAACATTAAAACGCAAAAAATTAAAAAAAATTAAACAAGATCTCAAAAAAATTAAGAACTTCTGATCATCAAAAAAGACATTCAAATGGCCTCTAAACACATAGTAAGATGCTCAGCTTCATTAAACATCAGAGAAATGCAAATCAAAACTAGAATAAGAAATCATTTCATTACCAGTTCGATACCTAATTTTTTTTTTTTTTTTAATTACTCATAGCTGGTAGAAATGCAAAATGCTGATGTGGAAAACAGTATGGTAGTTCCTCAAAAACCTAAAAACAGAATTACCATACGACCAAACAATTCCACTCTCCAAGTATACAACCAAAACACTTGAAAGCAGAAACTCAGATAAAGACTTGTAAAGCAATGTTCACTGCATCAATATAGCCAAAAGGTGGAAACAAAATCCATCAATGGATAAGTACATAAACAAATACTATCATACTATACAATGAAATACTTCTCAGTCAGTAAGAAAATGAAGCCTTGATATCTGATAAAATATGGACGGAGTTGGAAGATATGCTGAGTGAAAGAAGTCAGCTACAATACTGTATTACCTCACTTATATAAAAAGATAAGAAAAGGCAACTGTATAGAAAACAAAGCTAGCTACCTGGAGGAGTTATTAATGGTAATGGAAATACCACAGTGATTAAGGGTGCTGGTGGTAGTCGTGATGTGCCGTGGAGTCAGTTCCGACTCATAGCAACCCTGTACAGGGTTTCCGAGGCTGTAAATCTTTACAGGAGCAGAAAGCCTCATCTTTCTCCCATTGAACAGCTAGCTGGTAGTTTCGAACTGCTGACCTTGCAGTTCGCAGCCCGATTCGTAACCACTATGTTACCAGAGCTCCTTGTGATTAAGGGTAGGATTGTACAACTAATTAAAACTGTAAGAAGTTGAATTGGCCAAAGTTGTATAATAGCTATAGGAAGATAAATGAAAAAAGACTGTGATAAAATCAGACACATTATACAAAGTTATCAAATTGTGAGGCTACAGTTTCTAAATATACTCTCCACCTACATCTATACACTTCTGAAAGTGCTGTCTCCATCTCTTTAACCTTTCCCTGAAGGATTCTGTGCTCTTCATTTTACACCATGTCAGAACAACAGTTTTGACTACCTTGAGGGACTCAAATGAAGTTCCTTTGAAATGTCCTTTGAATTTAGGAACAAAAGAAGTCTAGAGTAGCAAGATCAGGGTTGTAAGGTGGTTGGGGTAAGGTTTTCCAATGAAATTCTCCTAGGACAGCCCTTACTATTATCAAAAAATGAGAAGGTACATTGTCTGATAGAAAAACACTTTTGTGCAGCTTTCCTGGTGCTTTTCTCAACGAAGCAGTTTTCACTTTACTGAAATTTCTTCCTAATAAGCCCAGTTATCATTTGTTGTCATTCGAGAAAATCTATCATGACCCCTTTGGAATTTGTGAAAAACACTCACCATAAACTTCTGACATTTCTCAAGCTGAGAGAAGAAAGAAAAAAATTCAAACTTTGACTTCCAATATGAAGAATTCTATGAGCAAAATACTGAAAGATGCAGAAAACACCAAAAGAAGGTGTAAGGAATGCACACAGTCACTCTACCAAAAATAAATGGTCAATGTTCAACGTTTCAAGAGGTAGCATATGATCAAAGACAATGGTACTAAAGGAAAAAGCCCAAGGTACACTGAAGGCATTGGCATAGAACAAGCCTCCAGGAACTGATGAAATACAAATTAAAATTTTTCAACAAACTGATTTAGTATTGGACACACTCACTCATCTATTCTGAAAGTCTGCTACCTGGTCAAATGATTGGAAAAGATCCATATTTGTACTCATTCCAAAGAGAGGTGACGCAATACAGAACTCATCAAACAATATAATCAAGATTTCATGCAAGTAAAATTGGGCTGAAGATCATTGAAAACGGGCTACCAACAGCACATTGACAAGGAAGTGCCAAAGGTTCATGCCAGATTGGGGTGAAGACATGGAACAAAGGCTATCATTGCTAATGTCAGATGAATCTTAGTTCATCTGATAGCAGAGAATACCAGCAAGATGTTTATTTGTGCTTTACTGACTATGTGAATGCTTTAGACTGTGTGGATGTTGACAGGCTATGAATAACATTGCAAAGAATGCATATTCTAGAATACTTAATTGTGCTAATAAGAAACCTAGGCATAGACCTAGAGGCAGTCGTAAGAACAGAAAAACAGAATACTGGATAGTTTAAAATCAGGAACCGTAAGAGCCAGGATTGTATTTTTCAACATTCTTAGTTAATCTGTATGATGAGCAAA